TTATATATGCTTTGTTTACATCTTTTTCAATGTGAACTTTGAATTTTCAAAATAGTCAAAAGTAGATACTTCGAAGGTCGTCCAACACGGTTTGATAATAACAACGTCTATGAAACCAGAAGCGTGGGATTCTTGTGACATTAGTTTAGCATTTATGTTCCGATATTGTTCAAAATAATAAAATTATAGAACCATATCGCACCATTAACCAACATTTAAAAACATCAACTAGCATAGTAGAACAATTTGTTTTAACTGTTAGAACTGAAACATACATAATTATATGCTCTTTTCGCAAAATTACACGATTTGGTGACATATTTAAGGACAAAGTGAAATATTCAATTAATAACTTTATACACATAGGCATTTTATGTGTATCCATTTAAGTACTTCTATATACAGAAACGTTCAACAATCAGGCTTGCTGGCTACAAGAGCTTGGAAGTAATTAGCGGTGACAATATTTGGCAATTCGCACTTAAAGTTACTCAGATCTATAGTCGGCAAATTTGCTTTATTTTACATGTCTTTTGCCATTAATTCCCCATCCTCCACCTCTTAAAATCTTTAGCAGCCACATTTAAATGCCATACATGTGATAGAAATTCGTCCATTGGACATGACCATTGCTTTTATAATACTTTCAGCTGTTTAATCAAATCATCTAAGAAATTCAGCACTTTTAAAGTAATCGTGATTTCGTAGAAGTTGGTCTCATATTTATGGCATTACTACGGTGGCATAGAGGTGACATTTGCAGTTTAATTTTATCTCGTGGCCACGACTTATTATCTTGAGGCCTCAAGATATTATCTCGTGGCCACGAGTTATTATCTCGTGGCCACGACTTATTTTCTCGTGGCCACGAGTTATTATCTCGTGGCCACGACTTATTATCTTGTGGCCACGACTTATTATCTCGTGGCCTCAAGATATTATCTCGTGGCCACGACTTATTATCTCGTTGCCACGACTTATTATTTTGTGGCCTCAAGATATTATGTCGTGGCCACAAGATAATAAGTCGTGGCCACGAGATATTATCTCGTGGCCTCAAGATATTATCTCGTGGCCACGAGTTATTATCTTGTGGCCACGACATATTATTTCGTGGCCACGACTTATTATGTTGTGGCCACGACTTATTACAGCCAATTAAAATGGTCGTTTCATCTTGAATAAAAGTTAATATCACAACGACCGTATATCACACTGGCCAAAGTGTCACAAGAGCGGCGGGTCAAACGCTGCAGCGTTGGCCGTTTTATAGTTATTAGTGTACCCCTTTCTTCTTTTTTATATGGTCAGGTGTTTCTTTCATTCATTCATCTTTAAAGATATACTTTGCTTAAATTTGATATTAGAAAATATTGATAATTGTTACACTGTCTCTTTGAAAACATAAAATAAACATGTTTTGACTTCACATTAGATAAACCGTGCTCATCCTTGAATATTAAAATCACAGAAATTTATTTAAATCTATGATATTCTAACTTAATGCGTCTGACTTGAATAAAGAAATCAATAAACTATATACAGGAAGCTGCATTCCCTATAGCAGGTCAAGTAATCTTTACTTAAAAAACTGACACTACATATATTCATGGTTAACACCTATATTGTGCAGAATTTTAAACATAACATATCAACTATCTGTGAAGTCAAAATATGCTTATTTTATGTTTACATGTACAAAGGGACTATGTAACAACTATTTATATTTTCTTATATTAAATTTAAGCAAAGTATATCTTAAAAGATGAATGAAAGAAACACCTGACCATATAAAAAAAGAAGAATTATAAAACGTCCCCCTTCTTCACCGCCGCAGCGTTTGACCCGCCGCTCTTGTGAAAGCTGTGGCCAGTGTGATATAAAGTCTTAGTGATATTAACTTTTGTTCAAGATGAAACGACCATTTTCATTGGCTGAAATAAGTCGTGGCCACAAGATAATAACTCGTGGCCACGAGATAATAAGTCGTGGCCACAAGATAATAACTCGTGGCCACTAGATAATATCTTGAGGCCGTAAGATAATAAGTCGTGGCCACGAGATAATATCTTGAGGCCACAATATAATAAGTCGTGGCCACGAGATAAAGTCGTGGCCACGAGATAATATCTTGAGGCCACGAGATAATAAGTCGTGGCCACAAGATAATAAGTCGTGGCCACAAGATAATAACTCGTGGCCACGAGATAATAAGTCGTGGCCACAAGATAATAACTCGTGGCCACGATATAATATCTTGAGGCCACAAGATAATAAGTTGTGGCCACAAGATAATAAGTCGTGGCCACGAGATAAAATAAAACTGCAAATGTCACCTCTATTCCACCGTAAGAAACAGGGCGACAGCAACTAATTTTCAACGGATATTGGCCACGTACATAAATATTGGAGTCAGGGAGATAAACAGATCATTATTTTACTTTGTAGTGCAGTGTAAGGGAAGTAACAATTTCATAATACAATGCATAATACATTCAAACATTTATTTTCTTTTGACGAAAGGCATATTATATTTAAGATATAAAAAATAGTGAGTTTCACATGGGAACCATTGGAGGTCTAACACCATGAACATAGCCTGGCAGATAAAAAAAATCTTCAAGCTTAATTAATCTGCTCATATTGAATAAAAGTGATCGGATGATTTGATGGATAATACAATAGTAGAACAAATCAACAAAGACGGCATTCTATGAACGCAGCCTCCAAAGGGGAGCGGTGGCCTAGTGGTTAATGTGTCTGCCTCTAAACCCAGGGATCATGGGTTCGAGCCCTAATCGGGTCACGGCCACCAGTACTGGTTGGCTCCGGAAAGCGGACTGGAAAGTGATTAATATAATTTGTAAGAACTCGTTTCGTAATCGAGCTAAAATTAATATATTTAACCCCACCCCCCCCCCCCCCCCCACCCACCAACCCCCACCCAGTAACACCGGACCATCGGCACGGAACCCAAAAGACACCGAACAAACGCAGGAGAGAGCAAAGGGGACACTGCATGACGAAACGGCAAAACATACAACACTTAATTAAACCAAGGAAAACCACAGTAAGTATTCAACCAAACAGCTGACAAGGGTGAAAGGGGAAATGGTCGGAGGTCAGGGAGGGGGTACAAAACGAACACTTACCGTTGTCGACAATTAAACTGTAATACAACAAGTGTCAACTCAATTGACAAAACAGAAGATACACATCTCTAGGAACAAAGAGGGACACCGCCTTGGAACAGCACTACTGGGGAGTTTGAGCGGCTAAAGGTGCTCCAAATCCAAAATGTTCCTATGAGACGAGATATCGTAAATAACATTATTACTCGCTAAGCGAAATTCTAACTATTCATCTGTTTAAATTCCTGTCCATTTTCGCCCATCCAGCCTTTCCTAATTTCCCCTATTCCCTACAGAAACTTACACATATAATTAGACTTAATCTCCCCTTCTCCACCTGCTCCTCGTTTTATCTGTTCCTGTCCCTTTTGGTGCGGTTAATATATGACCGCACCTTCTCCTCGTTTTATCTGTTCCTGTCCCTTTTGGGGCCATTACTTTGGAACATTGTGAGAGCTGCCTTTCGTGAACAATGCTCTCCATTGTTGATCTTGCTTGTCTACTTAATTTGGTGCAATCCAAAGGAAAAGCAAATATAATTATATTGTCATCACAAGCAAATTTTTTAACCCTAAACATGTAAAATTTCTTAAATGGACTTGACCAGAGACATATATAACATGTATCTATGCCTCTGATTTGACCAACTTCCATTCTTGGATCTTACCATTCAAAATGAAAGGGAATCACTACCTAAATATGTGAACTGAGTTACCAACAGATTACAAAATTAGTCGATGTCTTAAAGGAAAGTAGAGCAACAACAAAATCATATACATAGCCCCGACGAAACAAGGCAAGAAGACTAAAATTAAGATACTTCAGTCCAAGTGGGTTTTATGGAAAATGTTTTTTTAATGCATTTACAAGAGCATTTCAGTGTGTTATTAATGTAACATATTGTAACCATAGAAATTGTTAGAATTTCGCTTTGCGGGTAATCATTTTATTATAACCATGTCTCTGGTCTCATAAGAACAAATTGGATTTGATGCACCTTTAGCTCGCTTAAACTCCCCAGTAGTGCTTTTGCTACCAATAATATGAGCCTGTTCAGATTGCACTGTATTCAGACTGGCCGGTGGCAAAGGCTGGTCACTTTCGTTTCCATAGGTTACGGGTTAAATACTTATAGTACATTAGCTCGTATATACTGGTTTAAGAGATAAACTCAGTCACATAGATAAACCCAACAATTTGATAAAAAAAATATAACAGTAACGTTACTGTGTTTTTCAGCAAACAAACGCTTGGCCACCTATAGTAAGTAGGAGAAGAACAAAATGTTAAGATATTTTTTAATTTGGTAAAATTTATAATGTGTAATAAATTACGTCAACATTTTGTTTAAAAAAGCCATTGACTTTGGAAAAAAACTGCCCCAAACGTTCTTTTTACTAAACTACCATAATGTAGTTATAGAATTGTATTGACCACAGGCCACTGACTTGGGAAAGATTTTTGAAAAATAGTTGAAACATCAACAAAAAATAAATAAAACATATAAAATGTAAAAATAATTGATTAATGTTGATTTTCCATATTGGGTAAAAAGACCATGTTTGTATTCCTCGTTTCATTACCAGTTTCTACTTCCATGAATATGTTTGTATGTTAGTTTAGATACAATATATATTATAGCTCCATGTTTAGAAGAAAACAGACATAAAAATAAAAAAATATGTAATTTAGTGTCTGCGTTATACCTGCAACCAGTATTGGATATTGTTTTAAAGGGGTAAATGAGCACATACAACATAATAAATATTATGTGCGAATAAACATTCATGGCAATCTTTAATTTAAGCTCCATGTGGGCTCATAGCGTGTATTAATAGTGACTATGGTTTCAAACGAAAACCTTCAGCACAATAGAAAATCGAAACCTACTGTTTGTGTTGTGCGCATGCGCTAACATATGAAAGGTGGATTCGGCCATTTTGGAAAACGCGCGACAAACAACATTTTACATATGATCAATTCAATGTTCCATTAAACATTCAAAAAGTTTTCATTCAGTAACACAGGTAAGGTTCAATATCAAAGTGTACTATTTGATATTGGAAATGTTTACTGCGTTGTTGTACGCTCTTGTTAGAAGTGATACCTTCCAAAAATAAAGAATCGGGCATGTCGCCTTTTGTCGAAAACTCAATACATTTCGAATAAACATACGTCACATAGCTCTGGCTTCCATGACTTTATATGTCGCTTTTATTTTGACGTTGCAACTGTAAAGCTATGGGTCAACCCCAGTCTGGTCAACCCTATTTGCAAAGGCTACCAGTATTTTGGGCAATCTCCTGGTTTAGACCCCTATGTATCCTAGTGTACTTAGTTCCGACGCACCTAAGAAACAATCACTATTTACCGTAACAAAATAAGGTGACAACTAACAAATTATCTAAGCAGTGAAAAATTTATTCATTTCTTCATCTTTTACAACTTTTTTCATTAACTAAAAACTATCGTTAACACAAAAATAATCAAAATATGACAAGCATAGATTTCCAATATGGCGGATATGAGAGTACAGAGAAACGACGCATTTGATTGGTTTCTATATTTAATCTTACTAAAACGAAAGTACACTTCCTTTTCACTGCGAGAATGATGTACAGCAATTTTGTAAACAGCGCGAAACATTTCAAGCACAAAAGTAAATAAATAAAAGATGACAATTATATCAGTTAATCAGGATTTCAGTTTTTTGAGAAGACTAAATTCAAACATGCTTTACAATGATTACAGGTAGACCAAAACAACAAAGATAACATCCGTTTTATTGCCCTACCACTCAAAATTGTGCTAAATTATTTTCTTTCAGTAGTAGGTGGCTTTTTACATGTCAGTGAGGTTTCTTTGTACAAGAAAAAAAGAAGCAGGAGAGACAGTTTCAGATATAACAGGAACAGTGTCAGACTCAATGAGTGGCTCATTTTCAGGCAGGAAAGAAGGTTTAAATCCTGGTCCTGGCTGGCTGCATGGCTTGGTCTTCTGACTGAGATTTCTCTTGCTGTAAATCAGTGAAAGGGAGAAGTTAGAGTTTAGACTGTCAAAGGCTTTCTCAAAACAGACTGCAAAATCTTGGATAACAGTGCTTTATATTTAAATAGGCACTGAATTCAAGCTTACATTTGTCATTATGTAATTTAGTGATTGACCTTTCACAGGACCAGGGTCTTTCACAATAATTTCTATTTGAAAGACTCTGACAAGACAGGTCTCTCAAATTTTATGTCCGCACCTATTGAAATGTTTTTCAAAGGCCTGAAACAACCTATAGATATCCATGGGCTGTAGAACATTGCATGTATGAGCAAGTGAATAAGTAAAATAATCATTTCTTGTCTTGCACATTGAAAAATATTGAAATTGATGTGATATCTATGCTTATGATCATAAAATATAACAACTGGGCAAGATTCAGACCTTTCTGGAAGAAATCAGATGTGATTGGAGATAGAGCTTAAATCATATGCTTCAAGCACTCTCTGAAACAGTACCATCTGTCACAGGAGTACTACCATTCAGCAATGCTGAATTTATGCCAGTAGCAGATATACAATACAGCATATTGACCAGCAGTAATTATGTCTCCCTGCATTTAAAAAAAAATAAATAGCTGTTGTCATTGAAGTTGGTGAATAATTCCGGATCTTGACTTCAGGGATCTGTAAAAAATAACATAGATAATATTAATAATTAAGCAACATAACAAAAAAAAAGAACTTAATAGAATACAAACTTTAATATAAATGCATCCATAGTCACACAATAATGAGCTAACGAGTACACCTTCCTACACAGTGAATTATATATTTGGTGGTCACATACCATGCCATAATACTATCTCATGGCTTTCTAAAAATAGCGGCGAGTTAGGGTGTCGGCTGGTCCGACTGTCATTTTATCAATTTTGAGAAAACTATAATTTCAAAATTATACAAAATTAGTAATAAGAAATAACATCATTTTTAAGTGTTTTTATTAAAAAGTACGAAAAGATTACGTCAAAATCGCCAACTTTCCACATTTTCGCTGATAGAAATCACCGAAATGTTAACTTACAAAAAAGCGCGGGAATGACGTCACACGGAAACCCCAAAACGAAATCGAGGTCAAAACAAAAATGGCGTCGTAATTAAGATGCGTCGAAATAAAGTACTGGAGGATATTTTTCAGGAGTAAAACTTATAGAGAGGTTGGACCAATGCTCGGCGCATACCAATGCTCGGCATAAAAAAATATCTTTTTAGAATATCTGAAAATGTCTCGAGTTATCTCCGATTTAGGTCACTGGTGCTTTTATTTACATCTTTCACCATTTTATCCTGGTGTGGTTCACTGCTGGTAAAGTCACGTGACAATGCTAATAACAGACGAACACCGTATGTAATCCCCAACATATAAATTATTAATACACTTGTTACTATATATAGTAACAAAATTGCCTATGATTTCACCTGATTATGATTGTCACGTGACCTATTATGAGTTTGCGGCCCGGGGCCGAGAACTAGTTATCAGCCCGCAGAACATGTGCATGTGCACAAACTGAAACAATGACGTCATATTTTACGTCATCAAACAGTTAACTGTAAAAGTAGGTTGTCAGCTAGTCCAATAGATTAGACGTTACAGGCTTGTTATAGTTTTATGTTGGTCAAGCCTGACGTCTAATAGTTATTGCTCATAAACGCGTAGCATTTTGAAAAATTAAAAAAATGTCTGTTGGCTTGCCTTTCAAGCTTTATTCAAAAGCTTATCTTCTGTTCTTTCAATTGCATGGTCTATCATTAACAAAAACTTTCAAACAATGTACTTACCAATTAAAAATAAAATAGAAATATCAGTCTATTTCGCTCATCGGCCATACTGGTTAAGTAAAGCGTTTTACAGATTGATTCCAATTTTTTGAACGGAAAAATATATTCGAACACACTGACGGTGCATGGGCAATTATTTCGTTAAAAAAATATTCCGTTAGAAACTTCTGGACTCATTTAAACGCTTGCATTTGTATTAGCCAATCAGATTTCTCGCACTTTATGGCGGCCATTTGTATATCGGCTGTACAAGGAATTTAATTAAATGAGAGGATTTAATCATGACTTTTCGGATGTGACAGTTAAATTATTTTGTTAAAAGGTATTTTTTTTTAGTTTTGTTTATAAATAGGTCAAAATTAATGTAAATACAGGCTGTTTTAATTGTTTAAATTCATTAGATCTAAATCGATGTCTAATGTCATTTTTTTTGCTACACGATTTTGCAAAGATCTGTTAAGACCTAACGTAACATGGAAAATGAAAAATGTAAAATATCAGATTAATGAATGATAAATATGAAATAGGTTACGTATAGGTCTTATAATTAGGACTAGGTTGTCAGCACGAATCGCTTGATTTTTATTATGAGAGCTTAAGCATATTTAGTACAAACACATTTTTGTTACTATTGAAATTTGAAGAAATAATACAACAAATTCATTCCCAAAAAAATGAAAATAAAGCTTGCTTCTAGATTTTACTGCTTTGAACACACAAACAGTCAACATCTCTGTACAGTACAGAACAGTAGAAGTGTAGACAAGAATTTCAACGAAAGAACTTCAAAGTATTTGTTGTTGTTGTTTTATTGTTGTTTTTTTTTTTTTTAAATTGCTACTATTAGATATACCAAGTGTATTAAAGACATTAATACACGTCAGAGTAGGGCCGGAAGGTGATAATCGGCCCTGAAATGAATAATGACCTCGGACTGAAGCCCTCGGGGGGCCATTATTCATTTTGCGGGCCGATTATCACGTTCCGGCCCTAATCTGCCGTGTATTAATCTCTTATTAAAATCTTTTAACACTAGAGTTCTGTGGCTGTAAAATTTAAACTAAAAGTTGGATACTTGTAAATGTATGAACCTTATTTGGTTGTTACAATTTATTCAATATGTTTTCTTCATGAGATAAAAAAGAGATTTTATTCGAAAAACAATCCTGCATAATGTAGTATTGTACGCCGAGCTATGGTACAATTTCACGCAAACCACTCTTGTTTATCCGGACTATCTATAGCTCCAGCCATGCATGTGCTTATGTGATTAGCGAATTTTACACAATGGTTATTTAAAACAATATCATCGGTCTTGAAAATGGACATATAACATTGAGGTTTGTTGACGTTGATTTGAATTTGCCATATGAAATATAGTATTTTTACGCCGAGCGTTAGTCCACCCACTCTATATATAGTACACTAGAGAAAACGGAATGAACCTTATATATACTCCTGGTTTAGACCCCGGGGTATAGCCGAATTTTGTATTTCGTGTGCAGTACAGGAAAAACTATAAAAATCACCCTTATCAAATTTGGGTAAAAAAAAATACCGTTTTACAAATAAATTTTGAATCAATTCATGTTTATTTTTTAAAATGAAACTGCAATGACATCGTGTACCCAACTATTTGTTTGGGAAATATTTAGAGATTGTTTACCTATGGAGTCTGCTTTCAAAGAAATCTCGCGGGACTTCAAATTTTTGGAATTCTAGCATCTATTTTTAGTAACAGACCATACACTATTTTTAGTACTGTACAATTTTAAATAAATAAAATAGAAATTACCTAGATCTTTTAATTACATCAACAGCTAACCATGTCAAGAAGAAGTGATCTGGATTGCAAGATCTATGTCGGAGACTTAGCACGTGATTGCAATGAAAAGGATGTAGAAAGAGCTTTCAGTTACTACGGCAGATTAAGAAGTGTTTGGGTAGCCAGAAATCCTGCTGGATTTGCTTTTGTGGAGTTTGAAGATCCAAGAGATGCTGAAGATGCAGTAAGAGGTTTAGATGGCACGTAAGTACAAGTTGTTACATTTTTATTGAACTTTAATCCAAGAATTTTCTGTCCATTGATACTAGAAACAAAGACCCATTACTAATCCATGATAATTAATTTACAAATGTAATGAAAATTTATGATTTGGAGACAGTAGTGAAAAGTTAGTTTCTGTATAATTATAACGGTAAAGATATGTCTCGGATCAAAATAAGATTGTTCAATAGTTTTACAATGAAATTATTCTACAAATATGCACTCATGAGTTGTAAGAAAGAAGAGTATACAAAACAAAAGTATTGCCTGTTATTCTGTTTGTGTCCCTACTGCTTTAAAAGAATAATTTACAGATACTGAGATTGTGGTACTAACTGACTTTTTTGTATTGATTTATATCATTCTGAAGAAAATTCTTTTTCAGGAGTCTGTGTGGTTCTCGAATAAGAGTAGAGCATTCCACAGGAAAGGTACGCCCAAAACCATGGCTGAGAGGTGGCCGAGGTGGGGGAGGAAGAGGTGGCAGACGACCATTCCATCCAGAAGACAGATGTTACGAATGTGGAGAGACGGGCCATTATGCTTATGACTGTCCAAGACATAGAAGTGGACGTGGCAGCAGGAGATACTCTAGGTAAATTATCAGTGTTATTTACTTGGGTATATGTTCACAATATGGGCACACATTTGTTGTTTTCTGTCATGTTATATTAAAAAAAATAGTTATCTGTCTGTTTCACACAATCCTTTTGTTATTTTCAGGGTATGAATAGTTATTTTTCTTAAGGTCATTATATTTACTAACAACATCTCTTTAATATCAAGATAGATAGTTAATAGTCAAGTTTACACAATTTTCAGCTAATGTTAATGACTGCCAAATTGTTTTCAGCTAGGATGCTATAAAAGCAGAGGGTTGAAAAAAGGGTTGCTATTTTTTAGCGGTGTTTATGTAGTTAACATGTAGATGTTGGTATTTGTATACATGCTTTTGTGAAATTGTGTTAAATTTAATTTAGGTATGCATATACAGAAAAAAAAATTATGTCTGAATTCAATGAAATGTTTACAAAGCATATCAAACATATAGAACTTTTTGTATTTGAGATTAACAAATTCCAACATCTTCAAAGAAATTTTAAATTTGTTAAAATAAATAACACCAGTGATTAAAAGATGTTCGAAATAACATAATCAAATAGTTTTCAATTGATTTATATGTAAGTATAGGGTATTTTAACTTGTATTTAATGAAATGGGTGTGTCTAAAAGGTTGGACAAAGTTCTCTTCAAAACAGTTTAAAGTCAGTTTTTAGAGAGATTGTTAAATGTTTGTACTTCCCCGTTTTGCAGATTTCTGTCTCAAATGTCAGCAATATTGATCTGCATCAAAAGAGAGCTTGAAATGTTTCCACACTCTTTGATAAGCATCCCAGTGACTTGATCTTCACGATAGATCATCCATCACTCGAGTCCGCACAAAGATCACATCGCTCTAAGAGTATTGATCGTCCAACATTGAATCATCTAAAAAAAGTACTGCATTAGACTAAGAAACACCACCACCTAACATAGCCTGTAAACATCCACCTTCGAATCACCTCGAGTCGTCACTCGTCATCTTTGAGATCAACATTGGCTCATGTATTAGATCTCATCTCGAAATCTCACAACACAAGGCATTTAATCAGCAAATTGCGAATATTGATATCTTTGAAATGAATGATAATGTTATTACTAAGCCACAAAAAAATGATTTAAAATTGGTGAATCCGTTGTCACCTACATGAGTCGCTGGTCAGTGAAATTCTGTGCTGAAGCCTTTGTGAAATTCAGCTCAACTCTTCTTTGATTTGAGACACTTTACATACTTGATCTACAAAATGTTCAGCTTCACAGCTTTGTATGAAAGCGTAAGTCATTTCAGAACTCCGGTCTTTGGTTTCACATCAATTGGTAATGGGTTTGTCCGTTTCTTATGGAATTTCCAAAGCCTGAGTCTCCTTATATGTATTACAGTGTTCTTACTGGGCTGGTAAACTTAGGGATGTAATTGATAACAAAATAAGATTAGGGGTAGATAATATATGTTTAAGGCACTGATGTATGAAGTTAAATGGGCAAATTTTTAAAAAAAAAATTTGCTCTAACAGTGTGTACTTGTGGTCAATTAGCTCTGTAAGTTACTGAAAATTTTATTATCTTTTGTAAGTCCAAGTTCATTTCAAACAGAAACATTTTATACTTAAAATTCTGTAAATGTTTATGTATGTAAATATAAATAACTTTTATTTGAAAAAGAAAATTCAGATAATGTTTATAACCTGAAATCTTTCAAAGTCAATTACATCTCTAATCAGAAAGTTTTAAAATAAATGCTTCAAATTTTGTTAATTTCTTCCACTATATACATTACAAGATTTGCAAGATAAAAAAATATAAATCATGAAATGCATTTTGCAGATAATTTTTGGGTACAAATCCTGTTTATTAAAGTAGAATAAATTATTCAAATGTAACTGGTGAGAACACTGGAATATTGTTGTAAACAGAAGTTGAACATTGATTTTTCAGTTCCAAGCTTTGTAAGTATTCACTAGGGTTACAATCCAAAATATTGAATATTGCATATTTACAGGGATATATCTGTCATACAGAAGTATAATATGTTGAATAATGATGAACAAGAAAATAATTTTTTAACTATTTTTCAAATTAAATATAGTAATGTAAGTAATTTAGAAAGAATATTTTCTGAGGAGAAAAAATTTTTTTAAGCGAGAAGAAAGTAAAAAATCATTTCTATAATCATGCTCTCACAAAACTTTTAATGGCTAGAACTTTGAATATCTGAGAATTTTGTTAAATCAATTTGAATGACCTTGTTTGTTTCAGGTCACGAAGCAGGTCAAGGTCACGTGGAAGGAGGAGTTACACCAGAAGTAGAAGCAGGAGTCGTGATCAGAAGAGAGGGTGAGTAATAATGGTCAGGGGCCATAATTCAGTCTCAACAGTTTGATTGGGAATTTTTGTTAGAAGTGAAAATATATCATATGAGTGAAAATAAGTTTGAATTAAGAATTATTGGGTTGTTTAAATGTTTTGAGAAATAATCTTTATATCTAGTGTGTTACAAGCTGTTTAATCTGAATATTATGTTGTTTGATATATGATGTTCTAAACACATAGAAAATTAGAAAGAATACAGCTCATTTCCTTACAATGACAATAGTGGCAAGCCCAGCATTTTCTCTAATGCTTACGGTAATTAGTGCCGAAAAAATAAATGAATGACATACAAGTTATTGATAAATACATATAGGCACAAACATACACAAAGCTTTTTAAAATCATTATAAATAGTAATATTTCTATACTAGTTATATAAGTTTGTTTGAGGTATTCTCAAAGGCTAACGAGAGTCTGCTATTTCCTTTTCAGACGTGACCGTAGTCGCGACAGATATGCTGGGTAGGTGTTTTATACCATGGTTGTTAAGTTACCTTCTAACGAAATATCACTTTTTACCAATATTTTTTACTGGATGAATTATTTAAAGACATTTTTTTGTTTGGAAAATATGGTTTTATGGTGTTTTCTTTAACAGTTTAAAGAAATGACTAGAATTATATTTGGTTCAGACAAGTCTGAATTTTTTATGTATACATGTACATGCAAAATATTTGTCTGCATTATTTTATCATTTGCAAAAAATGTCTGACTTTAATCCAGAGTTATTGCTCTTTGCTCTTGAAGTTATTCTGTCTACTACTCCTTATGGAAAAGACAAAAACCTTACACATATCTGTCTTTGGATGATAATAATAAATAATATGTTGTACACTGTAACCATACCATTTTATGTTCTGTTCATAAAACCAATAACATCAGCGTTATCACTTTTGATATAGCTAAAATTGAATTGAAATTAACAAATAGGCAGTTGTAAGGCTTTCTTTTCACTGTTCCTGAAGTAAACAAACGTATGTTACAAAAAATATACTGTTTTGGTGTGAGGGTGTAGACTAGTGGTAAATTTTGGGTACTGGGTCCAAGTTCATATTTATTCTTAAACTGTTCACTGTCCACAATCAATTCATAATAGCTCTGTTACATTAAAAAGGTAAAAAGTAGCATGGAAGAAAGAAAAAAACATGTTTTTGCATACAGGTGTCTTGTTTCATTTGTAGATTAGATCCCAGTTTTGCATGATGCTGATGAACAGTGTACTGTTGAAGAAAAAAGAAACTTTAATAGTTCTTGTTTTTATTGTTGACTTTATTTTTCATTACAGACGAGACAGCCGCAGCAGAGACAGATATGTCAGGTGTGTTTCCAATAAATGTTAGATTGTAATATGTGGGGGAAAATGTTCATGCACACTTATTTAAATCAATCACTTTTTTAAGGCTTATTCTTAATTTAATTCAGATAATTGTATTTACATAAGGATAAGTCTCCTTTTATTTCACAATTTAAATAATTACACTAAGTAGTAAGTAAATACATGTCGATGGACATTACACTTAGATATATGGCAGTAACCATTGCATACAACTAAAGCTCCTTCAAATTCAGTAGATTTTCCCATGAATGGTAATGCAGACAAAAAAAATCTAAAAATCCAGTTTTAAAATTGAATATATGTTCGACATGGGATGATATGAAGATGATGTGTAACTTTTTTAAAAGTGATTGATGGATAGAATTAGAACCGTTTTCTTGCTAATTTTCTAACTAAATATAGTTGTATGTGTTATTCTACTCAGTGCTTTGGTGCTCCCTGCCCCCCTCATGTCTGAGATAATGCTTGGAGGGGCACTTAAGCACTACATCCTTCAGTTGACATGGGAAATTTCTGTATAACTTTTACAGTTTTTGATATGACAGAAAATGAGTTTGATGAAATTAATGACAAGGGGAAATTAACAATTTTTAGTCGAAGAGGTGCAGACTATCTACTAATTGTCTGATTGATAAATAGAAAGAATTGCCATTTAAATAGCTACACATTTGTACTTTCAGCCGTTCTCCATCACGATCCAGATCAAGGAGTGCAGCTAGGAATGACAACTAGAACCCTCCGGACATTCCCCACCCACTGTAGATCATCCACCCCATTACTCTTCATGAACAGGGCATTTGTACATACATTCATGTCATCACTCAACACTTTATCAGCTGACAAGACTCATCTCATTGTCTTTTATAATAAAACTGTGAAGAAAATAACAAAACTAAACAAAAACATGTGCTCATGCGGAGGACAGATTATGTCAATGACATTTAACTTGGGATATGTGACTTTAATTATGTACTTTAACTTGCAGAAGAAAAGGACTTTTTTTTTAAAATACCTTGTATTTTATAAATAATCACATAAAATTTTGTTGTAGTTTTGAACTTAATATTATAAGGCAGGAAATTTTATATTTTAACAAAAAGAAGTCTTTCCAGGTAGTTCTTTATAAATTCCAATCTAAGAATTCATGTATATTGTACACATTCATACTACACCTGTTTTATACTTCAATTATTTTAATCATAACATTCAGGAAAAAGTGTTACTGATGTTAACTTGTATTTAAATTGTTTCTTTGATTAGTGTTTTGAAGTTGGATCTGTTGAATATGAACAAATTATGTTTATTATGAATTCTCTACATTATTATATTGTATAAAAGAAAAATTTGGGTAAGATTTTTGTTACACACTGCAAGTTCATGGCAATGCCTGTAGTTTGCCTGTATGTTACAAATGGTTGAGTATTTTAAACATTCTGTTGTAATATGTTGATAATTTGGTACTGTGTATGATTCTTTACTTGGATTTCTTTAAATGGTTTTGAATAAAGTGGAAGTTTTGTCGCAAATGTTTCATTTATATCTTAGGATGGGGCAGCTGTATTATATTCATACAGTTTACTTGACATGTTGGTTAAAAATTGCGTCGTTAAATAAAGGCCCTTCAATAGTGGGTTCAACAATATTCTTGATTGAAGCTGCAACTCTTACTACTATCAATTCACATTTGATAATTTTCTGTATGTGATAAAGTTTTTAGTCTGAGCAACTGAACTAAAGCTCTATGGTCTTTTGAAGAAACAAAAGTTCAGTTACTCCCCATACAATAACATCTACCTTATTGCCACTGCCTCCATTATTAGCTTTACTCGAGAATATGGAGAGATGGGCAGTTTTTAAGTTGTGCAGGAAATTTTTGTTTACTTTAACCTTTATTTCTTATGGGATTCATTCAAATCTAAATTCTTGTCACCCACATATGTGATAGGCTTCATGACTTGAGCACAAATATTTACACAATTATCTCTTGTATGAATTTTCCTCCAAAATTTATTAGCTCACCAGAACCGAAGGAAAGGTGAGCAATTAGTATCAAAGGTGGATGCTCTGTCGTCATGTGTCAACAATCGTCTTTGAAACTGCTGGGCAGATTTACCTCAAATTTGGTCTGTAGCATCCTTGTGACAGTCACACTTAAATTTGCTCATGCCATTTCAATTGGCCCCTTTTAGGGGTCAACATAGCTAAAAACAGAAAAACCTTTAATCATTACTACAGAACTAATGGATGGATGATCACCAAACTTTGTCTGTAGCATTCTTAGGAAGTCTTGTATCAAGTTTGCTCATATTAATTTGATTGTCCCCTTTTAGGGGCTACTAAAGCTAGATAAAGAAATTCAGTTAAACATCTTCTACAGAACTAATTGATGGATGATCACCAAATTTTGTCTGTAGCATTCTTGGGTGTTTTTTTTTATCATCATATGAGTTTTCTCATAATAATTTGATTGGCCCCTTTAAGGGGCCGCTAAAGCTAAAAATAGAAAAAAACCTTTGAACATCATTTCCTACTGAAATAATTCATGGATGATCACCAAATTTTGTCTATAGCATTCTTAGGTGGTTTTTTATCAAGTTTGCTCATATTAATTTGATGTCCCCTTTTAGGGGCTACTAAAGCTAGATAAAGAAATTCAGTTAAACATCTTCTACAGAACTAATTGATGGATGATCACCAAATTTTGTCTGTAGCATTCTTGGATGTTTTTTTTTTATCATCATATGAGTTTTCTCATAATAATTTGATTGGCCCCTTTAAGGGGCCGCTAAAGCTAAAAATAGAAAAAAAACTTTGAACATCATTTCCTACTGAAATAATTCATGGATGATCACCAAATTTTGTCTATAGCATTCTTAGGTGGTTTTTTATCAAGTTTGCTCATATTAATTTGATTGTCCCCTTTTAAGGGCCACTAAAGTAAGTATAGAATTCTTCAAATTATGGTTTAAAGATATTCTATGCTCCAATTTGATATTAGAAATACTGACAATGGATAATTTCCAACACTGAAAAGCAGTTGTTTTTGGTGAGCGACTGGGGGGGGGGGGGCATCATTGCCCTCTTTGTTTTTAATCTGAATGTTTAAAAAACCTTTTATATCTTGATTGATTTATTTCAATTACAAGTTTCATGTTATCATCCATTATCATATATGATAAGATTCATATTGACAGAATTATCTCACCCTTTAATTTAGAATCTTTACTTCAAAGCACAAAAAAGTTATATGCTCTATCAACGCCATCAAATGTGGTAAGATTTAGTCTAGAAGCTGTATTGCTAAAATTATCTTCATTTTGAAATACATAAAGGACACCTTTGACAGGACTGAAACTTTTTTGGTGTGAGATATATCGAACATTTGATGTTTGTTATGTCTGGAACAAGACCTTGTGTGCAAATTTCATATTTTTATGCCACCGCAGCATCTGCGATGCGGTGGCATATAGCGATTCACCTGTGTGTGTGTGCGTGTGTGTGTGTGTGTGTGTGTTTGTTTGTTTGTTTGTGTGTGTGTGTGTTATATAGATTATATAGTGAACTTAAAAAATCTTCTTGTGAAAAACCACTTGTCCAATTTCAACCAAACTTGGCAGGATTGATCCTTGGGTGAAGCGCTTCCAAAGTTGTTCAAAGAATTTCATTCCATGCAGAAATCTGGTTGCCATGGCAACCAAAAGGAATTATAAGAATAAATTAAAAAAATCTTCTTGTAAAGACCCAAAAGGCCTAGAGCTTAGATATTTTGCATAAGGCATTGTCTGGTAGACCTCTACCAAGATTGTTCAAATTATAGCCCTGGGGTCAAAATCGGCCCAGCCCCGGGGGTCATTGATTTTCACTATATATAGATATAGTAAAAACTTAAAATACCTTCTTGTAAAGACCCAAAAAGCCTAGAGCTTAGATATTTTGCATAAGGCATTGATTGGTAGACCCTTACCAAGATTGTTCAAATTATAGCCCTGGGGTCAAAATCGGCCCCGCCCGGGGGTCTTTGATTTTCACTATATGTACATTTAGTAAAAACTTAAAATACCTTCTTGTAAAGACTCAAAAGCCTAGAGCTTAGATATTTTGCATAAGGCATTGTGTGGTAGACCTCTACCCAGATTGTTCAAATTATAGCCCTGGGGTCAAAATCGGCCCCGCCCCGGGGGTCATTGATTTTCACTATATATAGATATAGTAAAAACTTAAAATACCTTCTTGTAAAGACCCAAAAAGCCTAGAGCTTAGATATTTTGCATAAGGCATTGTCTGGTAGACCCTTACCAAGATTGTTCAAATTATAGCCCTGGGGTCAAAATCGGCCCCGCCCGGGGGTCTTTGATTTTCACTATATGTACATTTAGTAAAAACTTAAAATACCTTCTTGTAAAGACTCAAAAGCCTAGAGCTTAGATATTTTGCATAAGGCATTGTCTGGTAGACCTCTACCCAGATTGTTCAAATTATAGGCCTGGGATCAAAATCGACCCCGCCCCGGAGGTCATTGGTTTTCCTAAAATGTATATAGTAAAAACTTATAGTAAAAACTTTAAAACAATTTCTTCTAGCAATTGACAAATGCTAGAGGTTAGATATTTGGCATGAAACATTGTGAAGTGAACTTCTAGCAAGATTGTTCAAATTATAGCCCTGGGGTCAAAATTGCCCCCGCCCCGGGGGTCATTGATTTTCAATATATACATATAGTAAATAAAAAAAAATCTTATTGTCTGAAGGTACAAGGCTTAGAGCTTTAATATTTGTTAAATGATATCATCTATAGGTACTCTACCAAAGTTGTTCAAATTTTGCCTCTAGTGTCAAAATTAGCCCCGCCCCAGGGGCCATAGGTTTTCCTTATATGTATATAGTTAAAACTTAAAAAAATCATCTTCTCTAGATTTACAAAGGCTAGAGTTAAGATATTTTGCATGAAACATTATGTAGTGAACCTCTAGCAGGATTGTAAAAACTATAGCCCTGGGGTCAAAATTGGCCCCATCCCCAGGGGTCATTGATTTTCACTATGTACATATAGTAAAAAATTAAAAAATCTTCTTGTCTTAAGGTACAAGGCTTAGAGCTTTGATATTTGGTATATAGTATTATCTATTGGTCCTTTACTAAAGTTGTTTTAATTATGCCCCTAGTGTTAAAATTGCACTGCCCCAGAGGCGATAGTTTTCCTTATATGTATAAAGTAAAAACTTGAAAAATCCTCTTCTCAGAATTGAAAAATCCTCTTCTCTGAATTGACAAAGGCTAGAGGTTAAATATATGGCATGAGACTTTGCGAAGTGAACCTTTACCAAGATTGTTCAAATTATAGCCCTGGGGTCAAAATTGGTTCTGCCCCGGGGGTCATTAATTTTCATTATGTACATATAGTAAAAAAATAAAAAATATTTTTGTCTGAAGGTACAAGGCATAGAGCTTTGATGTTTGCTATATTATATATATCATCTATAGGTCCTCTACCAAAGTTGTTCAAATTTTTCCCCTGGTGTTAAAATTGGCCGTGCCCGGGGGCAGTGATTCTCATTATGTACACATAGTAAAAACAGAAAATAAAACAAATGTTTTCTGAATGGGAGAAAGCTACAGCTTAGATATTTGACTTGAAATGTTGTTTGGTGGACCTGTATCAAGATTGTTTTGAATTAAACCCTTGGGTCCAAAATTTTGCCTTGCCCAAGGGACAGTGACCTACTTTCTTGTCCTTTGATGTACAGCAATGAAATTTTGACCATGTGCACAGTTTTAGTTGTAAAATTGAATTTTGATATCAGGTGACCTAGATTTTTGATGATGTGACCTACTTTCTTGTCCTTTGATGTACAGCTATGAAATTTGAACCATGTGCACAGATTAAGATGTAAAGTGAACTTTGATATCAGCTGACCTAGATTATGACAAAGTGTCTTACTGTGTTGTCCTTTGATGTAGTCATGAAATTTAGGCTGTTTGAAATATGACCTTCACCACCAAATTCACTAGACTTGAGTGCATTGATATATTCCTACTCTGATCTTTTATTGAGTTAACAACAGATTTAACCACTAATCTGATAAGAATTAGATAGGTCAGGGATCTATGCATTATGACAATCTACAAAATTGAATAGAAACAAAAAAAATCTGTTCCTACACTACTATTTAGTGTTGTATTAATGCGGTGGCATAGCATTTTTCTCAAATGCAATCTTGTTTCTTTATGTTTTTTCATTAAAAAAAATCTTATTGTGCAAAATGCCCAAAACATTTAAATCATTGCTTATAACTGAATCAAGCTAAGAATTGCTTTAAGTACGCATGAACAAGGTCATTGACAAAGAGGTCAAAGGTGTCGAGAACTTTGATGTTAAAGAACTTGAAATTCAGGTCCTTTCTGTAAACGTCACATATGAAATTATATGCAATCCTTAATTGAGTGCTTATATCAATACTGTTCACAATCCTGAGACTAACGAGGATAATTCTAGTCATTATGCAAGGTCAAGATCACCAGTGATGATGAAATGACCAGATTTTGACAGTATTTCTTTACATGTATGGATACATTTTCATTTTGCTTTATATAAATGTTCACCACCATGAAGTGTTGGGTACATTAATATTTTACGAAGACAAAAAAGATCACATTTAGAAGTCTGAGGAAAACACTTTTCACATTTCTATATGAGTAAAACTTCTACAGGCGCTGAGTGATTTTTTATAACCTAGAATAAATGTTCGCCATGTTAGGTACAAATTCAGGTCCCTGTGGTCAAGGTCATACATAGATCTCAAGTCATATAAAATGCATGAATGAACATTTTAGTAGTTTGAATTAATAGACTTACAAAGATGCTCATGTTTACAAGACTTAGTGTTACTGGTATAATCCTAGGTGAATATATTTAAGGTCACTAAAGATGATGAAATGTCCAGATTTTGTCTGGATGGATGCATAGATTTTAGCACAACTTGAAAATACTAATCGTCATATGAACAATTGTCAAGGGCAAAAACTAACGGCCAAGAAAATGCTTAATTTAGTATTTTCTTTGTTCAGTGGTTGTCGGTCACGTTTTTATCAACAATAAAATTAAGTAAATAGATTTATTTCAACCTCCGTAAATGGTAATATTTTAATGCCTATTTCAAGAATGTTGACGTTGAAAATTGGGGGTCAAGAAAGCAATGCCTGACCTCATATACCAGCTATAATCATAAACAATAGAATATCCAAAACTTCAGCATTTGCTGCAGACATAATTGTATATCATGTTAAAAATCAAAACATCCAAGCTTTTATCTGAATTAAATCACGTCATGTACATATCTGTCCGGACACATGGTAATGTAGTGTAGACAATTTAGGTAATTTTGATACCCTCCTTGTCGAGCCTCAGATATAAGTGTCAATACATTCAGACATAAACAAACTAGTTTGTTAGTTAGGAGAAGAACTAAGCTGAACTGTGTCAAATTTTTAGGTCTCTAGGTTAAAAATTATGAAATCTGTACAGAAAAACGTTCAAAAAGTGTCCGGTTGATGGTCCCCGACCAGTATAGGTCAGAAAGAAACATTTTTAACTTTCCACAAATGTTCACTTGTGTGCCACACAAAATTCAGGTGCCTGGGTCCAAGGTCAAGAGGTAAGATTCAAAAAGAATATATAAGCTACTTTGAAGCTTTGAATTGAGGGATTATATCACTAACGTATGTTCACAATCGAGTATTGTCAGCATAAATCATGCCAATATAAACAAGGTCAGCAGAGATGATTAAATCAATAAATGATCCAGAGCATGTCATCTACATGAATGGAGATTGCATTGGGATCTTAATATTACATGATAAAAGCGACAAGTGTTGCCCATATTACCATGTCTATATGACCTTGTGCAGTATATACATTAGGGATGTTATACTTCACAAATATCCATCATTTTGAGGCATGTGCATACAGTTCAACTCATTTTGACCAAGGTCATATGAAAAAGAAAGGTCAGATAAAAAAAAGATCGTTCTTCACGCTGGGCCTATGGTTTGCCACCTGTCTTTCTTACTAAGTAACGATATTGTGGTACTTTATATATGGGCATTGGGATACATTTCTGTACAGTATTATATACTATAAATCGCCGTCGGAACTTGCTCAAAACGTCAAATTAGTCCCGAGCACAGGACAACTCATCACAAAAATTACATGCCCTGGTTAGGATGACACTAGGCTACCGGCTTTTTATTTCCGTATGCTCAATGGTTTTAAATGGTTCAGTCTCACAAGTACGCCCGTCCGTGCATCATTTCAGCCAAGTTAGTTCCTCTTTTAAGTTGAAAAATTCAACCACCCTATCTGAATTTGAATCTACAACAACGGAACAAATTATTCGGAATTGGTGGCATCTATTACTCATTAACTCTCTCGAAGACGGAAGCATAACCAAACAAGACCTGTATTTCATTTAGCTTTTTTACATTGTTGATTTGTGTAACTTCTTATGATCGTCAAAATCAACTTTTTAGATGATCGACACCAATGTGTAGAATAAGATGGATCTACCTCCGAAGTTATACCGGTTACTTTTGTAGTGTCCGGACCCCTTCTCTTGGCCATGACATATGAGACCCTTGTTCGACAACGGCGATAGTCGCCCAGAACCAACATAAAATTGGTCCAAAGAAGTTCTGTACGTTGGGTCAAATTGGAATTCGTGAACAATAAATTTGGTTTTACTCAGATGCCTTATCTAGAGTCAATTAAATGACGCTAACTAAACCTTTATCGTTATAACTGTATAAAATCTTCAATGATATCCATGATGTACATGTACAAAATAATCAAGGATAAAATCGTCATCACTTAAGAAGGTTATACTCTGTAAGGAAAAGACATCTGACATACCCATATATTCTTATATTCTTAGCTATTGCCAGACAGACTCCTACAAATTCTCCTTCCACGAAGAGTTTTCCACTGGACCAGGCTTACAAGTACCCCCTGACTGACCACACTTAGCCAGTTCAATATGGCTGATGATCATATCACACCATGACACAGATGTGCTGGAAGGTTTTTACTTTTTGCAAACCATTACATTTCCCACTGTTAATTTTTAATTGTACATGTATATGATATTTTTATACGTCTTCTTTTATATCACTTGAACCAACTGTCTACATCCCCGTGTGTGCTTTTTACAGAAGAGGAAATGAAGTCAACTCTAGGCGTGCAGTTTGGCGTAATTATGCTTGTGGCACAAAAAAAACATGTCTGTCTTTGTAACACTCGTATAGAATCCCGTTCAAACTGCTCGCTGTGTTCAAATGTAGCCAGGCGTAGGAATACCACAGCGTCGTCATCTGTTTCTTGGTCTTATAAGTGAGAAATCGTGAAGTCATGAATACAAGTCATTCGTAAATAACGAGGACTGTTCTGTATAATGTTAAATCTGGCAATTATTGACCCTCTGCATGGAGCGATAAAATAAAAAACAACAACACTGTTTCTCTCGAGACACGGCTTCAATTACAGACGTGAATTGGATAACCCGCGAAGTTGCTAAAGAACACGACACTTTATATTCGATCGTTTTTTTTTATAAGAGAATTGTATATAAACAAATGTTTTGAAATTTGACCTTTTACAATACATGATGTTATGGCATATATACAGCTAGGTAGTACGTACGATACCCTATTTTTTCAAGTATATTATGTAAATAAGAATATTTAGGTACATAAATAAAATACATATGTCTTGGCCTGAGAACCTGGGCAAAATTAATGTGCATTAACATTAACGTATTTTAATCTTGACATTTTATTTATCAATTTTGCAAGTAATATGAGGCCATCTTGAAGTTACCACAGATCACGGATTTATATTACATATAAATCCGTTTTAGCTCCATGAAGTTACGGACATCCTTTCCTATTAAATAAATTTACATATATACAGAAAACAAGTTTATGAAAGTAGACATTTAGATTTAAAAAAAAAACAACAACAACAACAAAAAACAACAATTTATATTAAGGCCTCTGGCCTCTGTTTCTTATTTGTACGTCACCGTATAAAGTGATATCGGTTGATAGATAATGTGCCTAATGAAAATCGGTAGTAAACGAATTGAAGTTTTTGTCACACATTTAAATGTATTAAGGACAAAAATCATTAAAGAGAACTTTATAAGTTAAGCCTCCATACAGTCTATAAAATTCTGACTGGACGCATGTCCTACGCAATATATTGCTCTGTCTGAAGTTTAGTGCGCGTCAGTGAACCGGAAAAGTGTAAACAATTGCATAAAGTGGGACAAAACTCTTATTTATATTACAGTTTCACATTAGTCTAACTAATTTTGAGACAAAGAGAATAAATAATCACAATTTACATTGCTAGAAATCAACAAACGAAGCTTTTTATATCATCCGTGATAAAATAAATGCACATGACCCGTGATGACCCCATTGCCATATTTGGCAACTTCCGAGAAATATATGTATCAGGTTCCAGCAGTATCGCAAATGAAATTTTAGTTTTTAACTGCAATTTCCGTGTGACAATTTCTATCGTTTCAACATATTGTTCTATAAAAACGAACTAATCATGTTTCTCTCAGTGAATTAAACAAAGTCATGAAATACGAAACTACATTGACAGCTCATTGCTAGCTCTGAATGCTAATTGGCCTAAAAGTTTGGGAGAGTTAATATCAACTTTTTGTGAACTATTTGGATTAATTTACCTGTACTTGGAGTTTGAACACTCGGCAAAAGTGTGTGAAAATGCCGGTGTTCCATACAAAAACTATAGAAAGCATTTTAGAGCCAGTGGCTCAACAGGTTAGTCGAACGAATATTTAACACATTTATTAAGGTGGGTGGGGTACAAAATTTGCATCCAATATAAATTTATTTTTTTATTTAAATTGTTTTGCGATAGTGCTATGCAAATATATAAAACACAGTCATTGGTTATTAAATTTATTTTTAAATACGTCTATTGAATATTATGTAGGAAACTGATCTATGAGTAGGCCTATCCATCTAATTTTTACTCCTGAACAATACTTTCTGCCTATAGCTGTATAGAACTGTTTAGTTTAGACTTTTAAAAAAATTATGTGCTAAGTTATAAAGATTTGAAATCCATAAACCTCAGAGTTTTTATATTTTATGCTAGCTGTGTAGTAAAGAATGATACAAGATTCTTCATTTGTTATACAAAATTAATGATATCTTAGAAGTTAGAAATGTTCATGCATATAAGCATGCCACCATCAATGAGTCAAATTGAAGTTTCTGGACTATGTCTCCCCCGGTAATATCAGGGCCAAAAGATTTGATATTGCTTAAGTAATCTTATTAATAAATTGTTTTTCTTTGATGATATTTCAGTTGGTTCCATTGAATTTTAGTGAAACCACTTCAGTCATACATTACAATGTAGTCATTACATACATGTGAACTTTTTTTCAATGATCAAGTGGGAGATTTTTCTTCAAAAAGAGGGAGATTTTAGAATTTGCAATAAACAAAGAAGAAAGTCCTGACATCAAAAAGAGGGAGAAAATTTAAAAACTTAGGAAGTTTAGTCTGTTATTATGTGGCATGATCATAAATGTGGTGATTTGTCTTTGATGATCCTCAGTTGTGATATATATGCCAGTAATATATGTTACCTGTAATTACAGCCTGTATGATATCTCAAATGAAATAAGGCACTACATGATGATGTATTTTTAAAATACAACTGTGCAATAAATTTTTATTTCTCTGCAAAAAATTGCCTCAATTTCTTTCTGTAGAGAAGGCAGTTGATTCATTGTGTCCGGCAGGCCATGATATTTCCTCATAACAGTCTTGTTAATAAAACCAATTTCTTGCATGTCAAAAAGGATTATCTACCGTTTACACCCGTGCTAGAAAACCCTGTCTTACACCCCCCATGAAAGACAAGTCGCATGCTTTAAATAACGTTAAATTGCCACACGCCTTTTATGAATGAATTTCGTTCTTAGGATGACGTCTGACGTATAAATGAAGTTCATACGCTACTATAAGAAAAAAGTGCGTAATGAGAATATCAGTTTCGTAATTTCTGTTCTGAAAATAATTATGTAATATGCCAGAAAAAGAATCAAACACTGGCTGTCGGTACAGACGGGAATATCTAGCTCTCGGGTTACTGTTTAGCGGAAACTCGGCAGAGCCTCATTACCGCCGCAAACAGTTACCCTCGGGCTAGATATTCCGGTCTGTACCGGCAGCCAGTGTAAGAATCTTATATTATAAGATAATCTGAGTGTCCATCTACTCACTAGATAAACGATTATTGATCCATAACTGAATGATTGTCTGGGAATTATTGATGATCTAAACATGTTTCATATATAATCACACAACGATCAGATGATGCCATTTATAACACTGTTTTAATGTGTCTGTTGTTCATTGGAAATGCATACAGCACTGAGCATATCATAAGTTTTAGGGATTGTCAATTTATGGATCAATCCATTGAATAGATTTGTATCATTGTTTCCTATATATATTACAGACCTAGTGTCCTGGATAAGTGATATAACTTGAATAAAAGGTTCATAATGATTTTTAATTAAATACCGAAGGGGGGAAAAGGATTTTTTGGGCAAATGTGTCAGAGATAAAAATTGTAAATCGTACCGAAATGATTTGGAATTTCTGTAAATTATGGCATACATTAATATATTAAATTTATTATCAAGGTAAACAGCCCAAAGATTTACTGAAGGAAATGACTAAAAACAAATTTGAAATTAAATTTTTAAATGTGTAAAAAACACAAATTGAGTTTTTTTTTGCACTTGGAGCATGTTTTTAATTTTTAAGGTTTTTAAACAAAGGGAAAGAAAACATCTTAGTCACTGTATTTTGTGTTTTTTTAATTTATAAAACCATCATTCTTAAACTTTTTTTCTTTCATTTTATGATGAAATAATGAAACTCAAAGTCCTTGATGAAATTACTTGTCCAGGTTTAATTTTTGAACTGTTTATTGTTACATTGTAACAATTATATTTTATCAAATAGCTTATTTAAAAGTTGAGCAACTGAGTATATTTTTATTACAAATTAAATGCCCTAGACCACAGCATTTCCTAAAAGATCATAATCTGAGTTATAGCATCTTACATATAGTTATGAGTTTTATTTACATTTTATTTTACACCCTAAGCTTATACTCTTACAGAATATTGCTCTAATCTTCAAGGAAATATTTGTATAATCTTTAAATACACATTTAATCCATTCATTAACAGGTACTTGTGTCGGATTAGGAACTGCGGGTTTACTCGTTTGACAACAAAATATCCTATCAGATTATGCAAATATTAATGATTTGTGAATTTAGGTGAAAACTATCCTTGGTTTAAAATATTTTGTCAGTGTTACATTTAAGTATATAATATTTATATTTTTAATTTCCGACAAGTCTCATTCAAGATGTAACACTTACATTGTACATGTATACTTTAAATTTTGTATTTTATATTGTGTTTGTTAACTTTGTAGAGTGACAAGTGTTTACTCTGAATGTCATAAAGTTCATGTAGTGAAATTAAAAGCCCATCTTACCACCATTTTGATGATGTTTTACCACCTTTTAAATAACTGGTGTATTAGATAAAGAAAAATTCCCCCCCCCCCCCCCCCCCCCAGCCCCGAAATACATGTAAGTCTGAAAGCATAGTTTCCTATAGGCTGCCATGTATTTAGAAACAGTAAGGCTTACAAACTGTATAACTGTATAAAGCAATTTTAATGATATACTTTTTTAACATTCAATTTTTCTACAACAATCACATTTATGTTCTGTATATTAATATATATAAGCAGACAATTTAGTGGACAGAGTAAGGGGAGTACTTGATTTAAAACAAGCTACTGTATGCTCTTGATAAATTGATAATGTTGTAATATGTCATAGTTTTCCCCCCTTTTTTTAAAGTAGATATAAATTTTAATATTTAGAAAAAAAAGCTTTTGGAAAAGTTAAAAAAAGGTTGTGACTGGGTGGTACTTAAAAGATCACTGAGAATTTTTGCATTGAAAATTTTAAGGGCAATTTTAAAGGGAAAATATATTTAAAAAAGTTTGAAGGAAACCTGAATTCTTAAAATATTTTACAAGAATTTAAAAATGTTTTAGAATGGGGCTTTCAAAGGCTTTTAAGAGAGGGTAGGAAGTTAAAAAGGCAAGAGTGGATCCAGAGTGGTTGTTTCACGTGTCATTGTTCAAGTTTAAGGGGAGAACATTTGTAAGCGGCTGGATGGCTCAGTTGGTAGAGCAGTGGAACAGTATTCCAAAGGTCCTTGTTTTGGGTCCTTGTCTGGCTGCACATTTTTCTCACTCTCTGCCATTTGGCACCCAACATGGGGCGCGACTGCATATAGCTCAGTGTTAAATTCACATTTCTCTGTCACCTTCAGAAATTCAATGACAAATTTCAATTTAGTGGGGGTTTATGCCACTGTTCAGAATTGTTCACTATTTTGGAAAAAAGATGTGTAAGTGGTGGGACAGCTCAGTTGGTACTTCTTTTGCCCATGGTCTTGTAATATTGCTATAAAGTAGCAGCACTATAAAGTTTGGCATTGTGGTTATATTTACAAATTTAGCTACTAAAATCCAACACCTATAAGTACATGTATATTGTAGTTTTAAAAAAAAAACATGCTTTCATAAAAATTGACCTGTAAGGTACATTACATCATGATTAATGTTAGAATAAGATTCTTCTGTTCAATAGGAGTAATGCATTTAAATGGGGAATTATAATTAAAGCGGCAATAGTCTGTCTTGTTCTATTATATAGCCCAGGTAGGTGGTCATTATGGTGGGAAGATCTCTTTCTCATGGTTGACAGTTATTTATTTGATTGTTGTCCTGGTGCATTAAGAAGACACATCTATTACCCAGCAGGGGAGGTGCTTGCCATTATCACATTTCTACCATGCTGGAAAAAAAATTGTATTTCTGTATGAAAAAATGGTATAATACCACTGCCTACCACACTGTTAAAGAAAATGAATCAATAGTTTGTATGTGTTATTGATAGTGAAGAAAACTATCAACTCACATTGTGCCATATTTAAACAATTGCAAGCATGTTTTGGGAGTTATTAGTACTGGTGTCATAATGGACAAAACATTGTCATACAAATACATTAAATAGAAAATGTTGCAGGCCCGAGTCAAGCCCGGTTTGATTGAGCTTGTTCTTGAATGGCTGTGGTGACTGGAAGCTCAAACCAATGCTCAGTTTTCAGAGGCAGATGCATTGACCTGTACTAGGATAAAATTATCAATATTTGTTTATCCCTTATCCTATAAATTGCTTAAATGGACTTGTCCATCATTTAATTAGGATAGAAACATTTGTCATCTTAACACAGAGCTGCGACTTTAGGACGATCATGCAGATCAAGCCACGATCTGAAAACGTATTGGATCGGGGCCGATCGGCGTCGAAATTGAACAATTTGGCAAATTTTGGTCTTCATTACAACTGTACTACGATGTTCCCACGTCAAACGCGCTGCTGACACGCTTCTACTACGATGTTACGCTGACCGATGCCGACCAGCGGCCGCGTTTACTGCGTTTATACTACGTTGCCGCTATGACATTCAAGTTCGCACTACGACGATACGCAGACCCAGAAGACTGTACAACGATAATGCTACGACGTTCCCGATCATATCACGCTTGAAGTACGCTTCTGGTACGATTTTGGCGATGATATATATATCTTGGGTTTCAAAAATTATTTTTCATTTACTTCCAAACTTCAAACATGA